AACTAAACACCTACTACGTATTTCAAAGAAATATCTAATGAAATTTGAGTGAGACAATCAGGAAGATTGAGTACATGTACATATAATACGTATATGTAGATTCCAAGAGAAAGTATGTGTAGATTCGACGCACAAATGGTACCTACCTAGATATCCGGATATAGGAATATTCGATGAACACATGATTGCCCCCACCTATGGAATACGTTTGTCAATCATGTCTCTTGTACTTTGACATTTGTGGTCGTTATTTGTTGCTGTGCAAGTTGTGTGAGCCCCTTTTGGACTCACTTTGTTAGATTTTTTTGGCAAATTCGTCTCTTTTGATTTTTTGAGCAATTACGAAGAGAAAAATGGGCATGCCTAAGAAACTAAAGGACATGCAAAACCATTTTATGTTATCTGTAATCATTCTAAGTGACCCTCTATTCAAATATGAGAAAAAGATGTACATAAAAAATTAACCAAGTGAACATAATTATGGTTTTTAAGTAAAAAACTTATAACGAAGAGAAATGTTGCAAATATTTGAATACGCATAAAAAAGAAAAGTGTTATAAACATTTGTTTACTTCAAATGGTTGCAAATACAGATTGTTGCAAATATATTGGGATTAAGTACTAAGAGATAAAGAGAAAGGGTGTAAATCAATAAATGAATGTTTACTGCAACAAAATCTGTATATCAGCTAATCGGCCATTATATAAGAGGTTTTCTAAAATATTGTTAGAGTACGGTTCGTGGATAAAAGTGACTTACACGATAAATAATTTTTGTGTGTGTGATTAATGTGACTATAAATATACTTTATAGTCAGTAAGTACAATGTAAATTTAAATATCATTATTGTTGAGGTTAATCCACGATATAATAAATATACATATAACTTGTAAGGACTATTGATCTTTATGTGGAAATCAGAAAGGGAGAAAATGACTTTTTGAGCTAATGTCCAACTCACTCTTATTCTCATTAATACTCTTCTCACCATTTTACATTATAAGTGTTGAGCTCCCATTAATGGTGTTCTAGGCTAGCTATTCTAGAGGGAAGAAGGAAAAGAAGAAGTGGAGGGGGGAGAAGAGAAGGATCCCAAAACAAGGAGGGAAACATTCTATTTATAGGAAAAGAAGAAAGGGGGTATCTACCCTAATGGGCCGAAACAGGCCGCAAGGTTTGGAATGGGACTCGTGGATCGGGCCCCACGGGAATGGTGCATTGGGCTCCTGAAAAGTGACGGACCGGCCGGAGTAATATATCCCAACAATTATAATCACTGAAAGTTAATAAGTCATATTTTTATTAATTATCCTTAGTTTGGTCACATATTATGTTTTGTTTTTATATGCATATAATTTTTTTACTAAAAAATACCTTCTAAAATAACAAAAGATCATTAGGGCCCGTTTGATGACCTCCATTTACAGCTTATCAGTAATTTTTTATGAAACAAATAACTTTTGATTTCGCGTGATTAATTGTATAATAATCAAAATAAATAATGTCGGGGATACTTTTTTGTTGAATTGGCTGAATTTACTATAGAAAGCTATTTAAGCTAATTTTCATAAAATTTATATTTATTATTAATAGAATATATCTTGAATATATGTTTCCCATGACTCAGCCGATTCAGACAAGATTTTGACCTTTTTTAGTAACAATAAAATTGATAGAATCAGTTGATTCGTTCTACTCAAATTTATAAAATTTTGGATGAAATTATTGAATTGGCTTAGAAAAACATATATCATGATACTAACTACTCTAATAGTTACCTATATAAAAACGCAGAAAAAATTTTCAATATTATTTTAATAATAATTTTCAGTGTGTCACCGCGAGACAATACAACCGAGCAACAATATCCAAAAAGCAAAGCCCTAACCTCCATCTAACCAACAATAATTATAAGCCCACTGACCCCCTCACCCCCTGATTAGACATAGAGTAGTCCACCCCAAAAAGAGTGAGACTAATCGCTGAACATATGAGAGCTTCGAGGCTACACTACCAAAAAAACTCGTTTTACATACGGATTTAGGCACGGAAAAAATCCTAGACAATTTTGGCGCGGATTTGGGGACGGAAAGCTGAAAAAGTCGATTTATAACTACAATGGCACGGACTTATTCGTGCCAACATGTTTGGCTCGGACTTTTCGACCCTACATCCGTGACAAGACCGAAAAAACTGTCACGTGGTTGGCCTATGTTAATATCCGTGCCAAATGCCGCGACAATATGGCAGGGAAGAGTATCCGTCCCAAGGACAGACGTTTTTTTTTTAATTGGCACGGTATATATCCGTGCCAACTTTTTCCGTGCCAAACCCCGCGACAACCCCATATCATATTTAGCTGTTTAAATGTCCGTCCCTATTTCTGTGCCAAAATCTAGCCGTTACGTTGGCTGGCTAATATCCGACCCAAACGCATTGCCAAAATGTAACCGTTAGTTTGACCGGAATTTGGCCGTCCCAAAAACCGTCTCCTTGACCAGATTTCATAGAAACTTAGTTTTGTGCCAAAATCCGAGACAATGAGGACCATTCTGCACATTTTGGCTGGGGTATTTCCGTCCCAATTTCTGTGCCTACTAAATCTACAAATATACCAAGTTGGGATGTGAAGCAAACTACATCTCAGAAAATGATGTCTTCGATCTTTGTTTATGATGAATTCTGGATAGAAGTTGGAAGTTATATTACTTGATATCTGGAGGTTTTCTATTTGGATTTCTTACTTTATATTACTTGGTATCATTGTTGTACTTAAGGTATGTAAATTTCGACCATTGTGCTTTTAAATTAATTTGATCATATCCATATTATGAGTTGTTATCAGTATTATTTAATTTGTCTTAATTATTTTGATTGAATTCAAGTGTTAGCTTTAAAACGTGAGACATTAGCTTATAAATTTAAGAAATTAATTTCGTTAAGATTTATTGTCAAAAAAAGTTCATTAAGATATTTTTTAATATTCAGGCACAATGTATAGACAAACTAGAAGTTGGATGTATGACCGCTACAAGGAAAATGGTAGAGGATTGAAAAAAGTGTTCGAAAATGGAGTTAACGAATTTATTAGATTCGCATAAGGGCAAACACGCTATGCTGATGGAAGTAAAATAAGATGTCCTTGTACAGAGTGTAAAAATAACAAATTTGTTGAAGGTGGTGAGGTTTGTTGGCATTTATATACGCATGGTTTTGTTGAAAACTATTACAACTAGACTGCTCAAGGAGAACCAATTGAGCCAGAGCTGTTGCCGCAAAACGTAGGAATGTCGAGGTATGTTCCCGATGAGATGGCTAATTGGGGAAATTATGAAGAAATGGTATGGGAGAAAAAAATGCTTTATGATTTGGCTGGTCCTTCTACGTTTCCAAATATCCACACGGATAGTGATTTCAACGCACACAATAATGTGAATGAAGGACCAAGCTCATCGTATTATGATGTGGATGTGTTAGGCACTAGATTTCAAGAAGTGCTCAAAAGTGCGGACCAGCCTTTATATTTTGACTGTTATGATCATTCACAATTATCAGCAGTTTCTGAATTTCTTAACATAAAGTCAGAATATAACCTCTCCGAAAGCTGCATGTCCAAAATATTAGACTCAGTTGGTAGTATGTTACCTCGTGATCATTGTCTTCCCGATAGTTACTACAACATGAAAAAGTTTGTTTCTGAGTTAGGTCTCCCTATGATCAAAATCCACGCATGCCCTCGAGGATGTATGTTGTTTTGGAAGAATGACGAAACACTTATCCGGTGTAAGTTTTGTAATGCGGATAGGTACAAGCCCATATCAGGTATGACTCGAAAAGCCCGAAAAAGATCTGCAGCATCGAAGTTGATATATCTTCCTTTAGCACCATGTTTGCAGAGATTATATGCCTCAAGCGCTACCGCGAAACACATGATGTGGCATGTAGAGCATGACACTGAGGAAGGGTTAATGTGTCATCCATCACATTCCGCAGCGTGGAAGCATTTTGACCGATGTTATCCTCAATTTGCTTTTGAACCACGCAACGTCAGACTTGGGTTATGTTCTGATGGTTTTGGTCCTTACGGTCAATTTGGAGGGCAGTTCTCATGTTAGCCAATCATCATTACACCATATAACTTCCCCCCGGACATGTGTATGAAAAATCATTTTATGTTTTTATCATTAATGTGTCCAGGTCCTGATAATCCAAAAAAAAGAATTGATGTGTATTTGCAGCCATTGATCGAAGAGCTGAAACAATTGTGGGAAGTTGGTGTTCCTACATATGATGTTTCGAGGGATAAAATATTTAATATGAAAGCTGCGATTATGTGGACCATTAGTGATTTTCCAGCATACGGCATGCTATCTGGATGGAGTACTGCAGGGCTTATGGGCTGCCCTGTTTGTATGGAAAAATCAAATGCATTTTGGCTAAAGAATAGCCGCAAAGCATCCTATTTTGATTTTCACAGGAAATTTCTCCCACCTAATCATTCGTATCGAAAGGATAAGAAGTCATTCATCAAGGGTCGCAAGGACCGCGATCCTCCACCTCTGACTTTAACAGGATATCAGATTTATGATCGTGTTCGAAACATCCCTTCTGCCATTGACGAGCCTCTTGAGTATCCAGATGGATATCGCATTTATCATAAATGGACAAAGAAAAGCATTTTCTGGGATTTGCCATATTGGAAGGATCTTCTGATTAGGCATAATTTGGATGTAATGCATATTGAGAAAAATGTTTTCGATAACATTTTTAACATAGTTATGAACTTCAAGGGAAAGACTAAGGATGGCCTTTCATCAAGAAAAGATGTAGCTCTGTTTTCTGATAGACCGGAAATTGCTATGGGCCCTGAGTATGTCGGTCCATTCAAGAAAACAGTTTATCAGCTCACGGACGAGCAGAAGAAATGCATATTGGAGTGGCTCATCATGCTACGATTCCTTGATGGATACACGTCTAACTTTAATAGATGTGTTGAGTTAGAAAATTTGGTAATGAAGAGCATGAAGAGTCATGACTTCCATGTGATGATGCAACGCCTCCTTCCAATTGCATTGAAGGAAAATCTCCCGAATAATGTGTGGGCATGTATTTGTGATGTTTCTCAATTATTTCAGTTATTATGCTCACCGGTGCTAGACATACAAGCAATTCAGGAACTTCACCGTAACGTTCCCACTATTTTGTGCAATTTGGAAAAGATCTTTCCTCCATCCTTTTTAGATGGAATGGAGCATCTACTTGTCCATCTTCCATTTAAAGCAATGACCGCAGGGCCAAGTTGGTATAGATGGATGTACGGATTTGAGAGGTAAAATTATTATGCATTTTGTAAATGGTTTCATATATTGTTTATATTAATATAAAATAATCTTTTGATATTGTCCTGAAATGTCTTAGGTTTTTGCGAGAACTGAAAAAGAAGGTGACAAATAAAGCACACGTTGGAGCATCTATATGCCAAGCATACCTTACAGAAGAAGTTTCCACATTCTCTTCCTTCTATTTTGAAAGAGAAATCATGACTAAGAGAAAAAGGCCTGTCAGAAATGATAATGTTGATCCAGCATTGTATGAGCAAATGGTTTCCATCTTCAACTATCCAGGCAAAGGATATGGTAGAAGGACACACCGTCGTGTTGTTGGAGACGAGTTTCGAATTGCACAAACTTACATTCTGATGAACTGTCCGGAAGTTATTCCGTATTACAAGTAAGTCAATATTAACGAACATCGTAATAAGTTATTTTCCACACTAACAAACACTAACCATTTCATTTTCTTATAAAAAAATGTAGTGATTACAGAGAAATGCTTTCTCTAGCTGGTTATTCCAATGAGGTCATTGATGCGACGATCGACACTGAATTTGCAGGATGGTTCAAAACTATGGTAAATCAATAAGGTTTTTTAATTGCAAGTATCAATTCTATAGTATTCATTACTGAACAACTAAATGACATTTGCAGATACTCCGTGAAGCTGAAAATTCTCTCGTTGATTCTTTCTTGGAGTCATTAGCATGGGGTCCTGAAACACTAGTGAGGTATTGGTCTATATATTTTGTCAATGGCTACAAATATCATACATGTGCTTACGGAGACAATAAACCCACTATGAACAGTGGTGTGAGCGTGTCGACTTGTAGTTATGACAATTCAGAGACTAGTTTTTTTGGATATGTGGATGAAATACTGAAAATGAAATTCACTGACCACAACAAGTTATCGTGTGTATTATTCAAATGCACTTGGGTGGATCCAGTGAGGGGGGGGGGTGAAAAAGGATCACAAACATAACTTGGTGGATGTTAATCACAGGCGTGTGTATCCGAAAAATGAACCTTTCATATTAGCTCAACAGGCTGCCCAAGTGTATTACGCGGAATATCCGTCGACACGCATCAATCGCATTGGCTGGGTAAGTGCATGTACTATTAGACCGAGAAAAGTTGTTTCTCACGCGGTACAAAAAAACATTGACATTGATGTTTACCAACAAGAGTTTTTTCTACCCCCAGTTTCAGACATTATTGGGGAGGATATTTTTTTGAATGATTGTACTGGAGCAGAAATAGAGTTTGACCCTAACGACGCCAATGATGGTCCAGACGAGGGAACTCAATATCAAGAAGAAGAATGGAACTTTCAAACAGAAGATACTGATGATGATGATGATGATGATGATGATGAGTACGTTGACCATATTGACTCCGAAGATGAAGAAGAATGAATTGTTTTATTTTTATCAAATATTGTTTCATTACAGAATTTTATTTCAACATTTTTATTTCTTGTCATGACTGTTTCCGAATAATTCAATTTCTAGTCTAGACTGTTTCTGAGTTATTTTAAAATGCAATTTGGTAGATAATTTATCGTCTATTTAATCAAATTAAAATGTTTAAATGCACATTTTTATTAAGCAAATGTACATGTTTTTACTTGGGCTAAGTTGAAAAAACAATTTCAATAAAAAAACGCAAACCAATTTTATTACGCCAAAAGCAGACGTTTTTATTACATTAATTTTAGTCAAAACAGACTAAAATTACTGAAAACTCAAACGATACACGATAATAAGAATTACATAAGAAAACAATACATGATAATGATAATAAGAGTACATAGTAAAATGATACACTTATTTGATTCTTCATAGTGCCTTCCTACCATCATCTTCACTTTTACCTTTCACTTCAGAATCTTCACTTTTACCCGTCACTTCACTTCCCCTTTTCCATAACTGATTAATTTTTTTAGCTGCAGCATCATCAACAGGCTTCATTAACTTAAGTATTTCCCCTATCTTATCAATTTTTTTCCCAACTCATCAAAATCACATCCCCATATTTTTTTTTATAACTTGTACCTTCAGAATTTTCCATAATAAAGCTTTTTTTATATTTCACTTTGTAACTATTTTTACACTATTATATCAAGCCATATTTATAGTAGAAGCTGAACCATTGGCAAGGATTTGGATGGGATAATTCCGCCTCAAAACCTTAATTCCGCTGCAATATACGCAATAGGCATGGAATAATCCCTGCCAAATCCCTGCCAAACCCGCTCTGACATAATAATTATTGACTGCACAGCGTTTCAGGCGACTTTTCAGATTGGCACTGATATGGATTTGGCACTGTGTTTGCGACGAATACTGTCGACCCTATTCAAAATTTAAATTTCACTTCCCCCGCTCGTTTTTTTTTTCGCGCAATTGGGACGGATTTGGCCGAGCCAACTCGCAGCCAAGACCGAACACTAATCCGGAAGAGTCTAGAACGGTTTTGGCGGTCCTATTGCGACGGATATATCCGAGCCAAAGCCAGAGGTTTATAAACTGTCCTTAGTGCATTTCGAGCAAACCCTAGGCCATTCTTCAGCATCCCCCCCTTTCGACACACTCTCCGCTCTGTACATACCACATACCCCCGCCACCACCCTACTCCGGCCACCTTCTCCGGTCACTACTTACTCTGCCTCCCCTCTGTTTCAAGCCGCCTCCGAACGTTGCCGTGTTTCAAGCCACTCCGACGCTTGCAGTGTTTTCAAGCCACTGCGACGCTTGCAGACGCTTTTAGCCGGCCATCGTCTTCTCTTTGTTTGCAGGTCATGCATTTTTTAAATACTCTATTAGTTACGGTTTTTCATCTTAACTGTTATAAACATATGTTATTTTTAAATAAACTCGTTATGTATAATAAACCAAGTATTATAATCTAGAAACGAAGTATTTTTAAATACTTTATTGTTTATATTTTTATTAGAAGCGTAGATTATAAGGCACCTTAAAATATGTTACTAGTATTTATAATGTAATTATAAATTTTTACACGAAGTATTATAATCTAGAAACGAAGTATTTTTAAATACTTTATTGTTTATATTTTTTATTAGAAGCATAGTATTATAGGCACCTTAAAATATGTTACTAGTATTTATAATGTATTTATAAATTTTTACATGAAGTATTATAATCTAGAAACAAAGTATTTTTAAATACTTTATTGTTTATATTTTTTATTAGAAGCGTAGTATTATAGATCGACACCTTAAAATATGTTACTAGTATATATAATGTATTTATAAATTTTTACACGAAGTATTATAATGAAATTTTTTTATAAATACTTTTTTAGAAACGAAGTATTATAATCATTTATTACAATATATTTATAAAGTATCTATCAATTTATGAAGGGATTATTTATAAACGAAGGATATAAATTCTTAAATTCGTAATTATATATACGAATGTAAGTATAATTTTTAAGTTGGTTATAACCTAATTTCTTCATATTACTTGGTGTAACCTAATTTTTTCAAACGAATTTCATAATTTTTTTGATATTATTTGGTTATAACCTAATTTTTTCACTGGTCTCTTTCTATAATATCTCTATGCGTTTCAATAGAATGTCTGCCCGTAGAGGTTCATTCACTTTGTTTACTTCCTCTCGCGGAGGTCGTGGAGGTAGAGGTAGCTCACCCACTGTCCAGAATGAGCAGAACTCTCCTCTAGGTGATTCGCATGAGTCTGTCGAATCCCGACACCCTATTGATGAACAGTTAAGTGGTTTTGATTCTTCGACCCCCGATGAATCTGTTCAGCAAAAGACTTTCATTTCACCCTTTGAAATGAGAAGGTAATGTAAAACAACATTAGGCAATTTTTATATAGTAAATTCCTATCTATACATTACTTATATGTGCTTTTATGATGTAGCAATCCTACTGTACTCAACAACATCATTTCAATCCTGACTAACAATTTCCACGGGCCATGGCTTCTTATATGCATGCGGACGCTGATCAACGCAACCGTTGGTGGAAACTGTTTCAGGTATGCTATAAGTACTTTTAGTTTTTATTTGACAGATTGTGAGTTATGATGTTGATTAAGTCTTTTTTGTGTTTTCAGAGAAAGTATGAGTGGGATGTCTGCTTTAATACCAAAATGAAAAAGAAGTTCAAGTCTCGGGCCTCTGAATGGTTGAGCAAAAATATTGGCAGAGCGAGGCGTGAAAACAAGAAGCCGAACTGGATTGGAGATGGAGATTGGAAGGTGTTGCAAGAATATTGGGCCTCCGATGCTTTTAAGAAAAAGAGCCATGCTGGAAAGAAGAACAGGATACCGGTGACTACGCATGTTGAAAGGCTGGTGAGTTTAATTGAACTGTATTGTAGTATTATGAACTGCATTTTACCTTTTAGTGAACTCCTAACTTTGATTTTGTAGACGAAGGAGTTGAATAGGCCTCCCTTGAAGATTGAAGTGTTTGACAAGGTTTATGTCCCGAAATCGGGCGAACCCCCAACACGTGTAGTTGAAACGAAGGTAAATTGTATGTATATATATATATATATATATATATATATATATATATATATATATATATATAGAGTAGTCTTCCGGTCAGGTATACCTGACCGGAGCCCCGTCCGGCCTCCTCCATTTGGGGGCCTTCCCGGTGGTATTTTTTGCTCAAATTTTTTGTGTAGGTTCCTCATCAAGTCTAGTTCATCCATACCAAATTTCAGCCAAAAATTCAATCGGGAAGGTCGTCAAATGATTTTTGCAAGTTAACTGGTCCGGAAAATACATATTCCGGACCAGTTAACTTGCAAAAATCATTTGACAACCTTCCCGATTGAATTTTTTTCTGAAATTTGGTATGGATGAACTAGACTTGATGAGGAACCTACACAAAAAATTTGAGCAAAAAATACCATCAGGAAGGCCCCCAAATGGAGGAGGCCGGACGGAGGGAGTGGTCTGGCCTGGCCGGACCTGAACTTTAGTGTGTATATATATATATATATATATATATATATATATATATATATATATATATATATCAGTTTTTCATATTACTATAAGGAGTATATGTCTTGGTAACCTCCTGTCTTCTGATTGTGCAGCAAAAATACAATGAGATGAAAGCCCAGGCTGAATCGCAAGGGAAGTCGTACGAAGAGGATGATTCTGAGCTGTTTTGCGCGGTGGTCCCACTATACAAAGGCAGGCGGTTTGGGACGGGATCTGAAGCTGAAGCGATGTCTGACCTTGAATGTACCAGCCGGATATCGGGGCCGACTCAGATGGAAATTGATTCCCGCATCAAGGACAAGCTGGAAGGCCGTTTGGCGCAGCAGGAAAAGCAGTTTCAAACTCAGATGGCGAACATGACTTCTGCGTTTACTGCGTACATGGAGCAAGTGCGAAGCTCGAACCCTTCTGTCCTGCTACCTGATTTCTCGCCTTCTCGTACCCCGACCTCCGCCCAAATGAATGGGCTACATGAATCGAATGAAGTGCGGCTGTCTGATCTATTTGTGTAATGAACAAACTCTTTAACTTTCTGTACTGGTTCTGGACATCTTCTGGCAATTTATTTGCCATTTCTACTTTTGTTTTGGCAGTGGTTTATCTGCCTGGACTGCTGTAACATAATAATGTTCTGTTTATTTGTGCTCTTTCATTTGCTCTATAGTTTGCATGTGTGGTTCATAATTTGCTCTATAATTTGCATATGTATTACATACTTTGTAATGTTTATCTTTTTGGACTGCAGTATTATATGATTCCAGTTAAATGTTTTGTTTATAATGATTTGTAAAAAAAAATGTACACCGTACATATGTACGGTGTACATTTTTTTAAAAAATTAATTTTGGCACGGAAATTGTCCGTACCAAAAACCTGAATGAAATTCGGTAAAATATTAGGCACGAACTTATCCGAGCCAACTAACGGGTAAAGATTTGCCCTACCCGGTTTATTCCGGGCCAATATCCGTGCCAAGTTACATCCGAGCCAATCTTTTGGGGGAGTAATTGTTGGAAGTAATCTTGTTATTAGTGCTAGATTATTAGATTAGTTATTTGCATGGGTTGGTCAATTAGGTAATTGCATACATGTTTAATTAAATTGTGGAGTTAAGCATTGCATGGTCATGCATGTTTTTCATACGTAGATTTTTGTTTATGAGTTTGCATTGTTGTAAATTTTGCATTTACGTAGAAGTAGTTATCATTGCATGCATATTCAAGTAGTGGGTTAGTGCCTTAGTGGGTTCAAAGTAGTGTGTGTAATGCATTGTAAATACGGTTATCACTTTGTCTATAAATTGAGAAAATGGGTGTGTAAAAGCTAGTTGGCTTTTCACCACCACCAAAAAGATTCATTCCTTTGTTTCTTATGTACGTACTCATGCTTTGAGCACGTATCCTCAATGCATTCCCTTTAAATATTAGTTATTTCTTTTTCTTTGTGAGCAAAGCAAATCCAACATTTGGTATCAGAGCCTCGTTTGTTGAGGTCCAAATCTCCGTCGTTGTCA